TACTGCTTCATCCCTCGGCACGGATGCGAAAAAATATTTCATCGATGGCCGCGAGATCACCACTAAGCAGGCTGTCTGTCACGCAACTTGTCAATGTGCCGCAGCCGTTGCTGCAACTCTTGTGGGGCTGGTGTTGCCAAGGCTATGCACCTCGGTTCTCAAACTACAGCAGCAGCATCCGACCTTGAGGGAGCAGTGGGGACATGAGCGAAGGGGCTTCAACAATACTAGAAAATGTTGAGGGAGTAGTCGAAGAAATTAGCGAACAGAGTCCATCGATGTTTGATCAAGCAAAGGTGCTTGTTGGAGCAACTTCCAGTTCCGTCAACCTCAAAAGTCACCAGAGTTTTGATTGAAAAAGGTGGCGAATTGGCAGAAAAGCTCTCAGATGATGCTGAAGAGCTTCCAGACGAAATTTTTCCCTACAGCCCGACGACGTTGTTATTGAGAAAGCGTTTGAGCTTTAAAAGTTCACACAACAAAATGTTGATCTGCAAAATCTGACCTATAAAGAGGGCAACGGAGATGACTCTGACTCAGAATGTACCCAAGAAGCAGTTGGCGCGCAAATGACTGAAAATCATGAATCATTCAATCAGAGAGGTGGACTTATCATGTATATATGTAATGGTTGGTGGTTGCCTGCATTATCCCAAATGATTGTAAGCTACATACAAGACGACAAAGAGGTTACAAAGAAAGTCAGAGGGAATAGAAAGCAAATTAAACTTACTGAAAATGCGAAGGAAATAAAAGTCCGTTTCAAAATTTGGCGACCCACCTCTGGCTGGGGTCATGTTAATAAGTATAATCGTTTCGCAAGATGGTGGTGTCAGCCATACGAGCCACATGTATTCCACTACCCAACACCAGTGACTCGCACGTTTACCATCGAAGGTACTCTGTGGTGGGAAGCGGTGATGAAAGTAACAGACGAACATCACAACGAAAAAGAGGACATATAAAACACTGACTTTACCTATCGAAAGCATCATCCTTTGTTTGGTGGCTAAAAGCATGACAATTTACAAGATGTACAACGGATTTTGTTAGCACGGACCTTGTCAAGGAGTTATGTTATCATGTATCATACTCAAGATTTCCGTAATGCTTAGCAAAGCGTTTTTCTCTTTTTGGTGAAAAAAAAATGCTTTTTAAGTTTCCTAATTGCACTTTTGTGAAAGATTATAATTTGGTTTCTTTTTTCGTCAAAACAAACAAACAATCAAAAGCCAAAAATTCTGAGATTTCAAAATCAGGAAGAATCAGTTACACTGACTAGACGTAGCGGACGTCTTCTACAGATTGAGCTCTGTCAGTTTTAATGACTTTTAAACCGATGCATCTGGCAATGAAAAGTCTTAGGCCCAGTTTTTTAAACGGAGTTTAGCCAGTGTTTAATAAAACCGCGTTCTAAGCCATTTTCAGTTTGTCAACGATTTTATGTAAACACCATTTATCGTGAACAGTTTCATGAATGCATTTAGCGTAGACGCCCGAGAAAAGCTTTTCTCTTTTTAAATGACTCACTGATGAAGAGATATGGAGGTCTAAAGATTCATTAAACCGCGGTTTAAATTAGACTTCGTTTAAATAACCATCCCTAATAGTCTTTCACAAGTTAGATGCTGACACAAGGCGAGATTTTGTGGAATTCTGAAAATTAACGAAGAACAATTTTGTAATAAGCTCTACACACTACTACTTTCAGTTTTATGTCTTAATTTTTAACAGTTGTCATTCATATTGAATATTAGATAGGGAAAAAACCGAGGTGTACACTTTGTATTCATTTTTCGTAATCATAGGCTGACCTGCGTAAACTGCATGAAATGGGAAGTGAGGTCAAATCAACAATCGCTTTATTAGATAATAACAAAAAAGGATGACAGAAATCCCATTGTAGATGCCACGTTGTCTCACCTAACATGTTTATCGTAAAATGTCACTATAGAGTAGCACAGACCATGATCGAGTTTTCAATATGTAAAAAAAAACCTAAACAATCGGGGGATTTCACTGATTCCTAAACATCCGTCATTTGTCAGGTAAATCCCAAGTTCTATCCCAGGCGCCCGTTTGATTTGCAAGGCACTGGGCTGGAGTCAACACTCTAAATCAGAAAGATCTGGCTTAGCCCAAAAACAGGGCCGTTTCGGTGAGTAAAATACAGTCCTATATTTGGGTCTGATTTGGCTCCCTTAAATCAGGGCCAATACAGTCCAATTAGCTAGGGCTGATTTGTACCCAGGGCTGAAATGGTACCTACCGTGGGCTGGAATAGCCTTTTGATTGAGCTTTTTTTGGCCTAAATTGTGCTCAAATGGCTCCAGGACGGGCTGAATTGACACTTTGGGGCTGAAACAGATCTTTTTAATTTACAGTGAATGAAGGATTGCTCTGAGTTACAGAGCTGTAACAGTAGGGCATGCGCACCCATCCATTTGTGTCATGTTTGTTTTCGCATCCTTACTCATTTGGTTCCTTTACCAGTAGTATTTCTTTTTGAGGAAACATGATATGCACCCTCTAACAAACTTCCTGTCATGTTTTAACAGGCTTTAAGGGTGAATAAACATCGTCAGTTAGATTTATGGAGTGATGGCCCTTCTCTGTTTTGAATGGATGAGTACTGTCATCAAATATAAATTAATAATAAGAAATCGATTGTGGAACAGAGGGCTGTTACTCAAGAGTCGCTTCAAAAATAGTACCTTAGGAAAAATCTCCGTATTTCTTAGAGTAAAAGAAAAATAAAAGTATTGTTTTTTTTACGGGGTGCGTTTGTTTTGTCTGCAAGTGAGCTTATGAAATGCTCAAGTGATTATGAAGTACATAATCACTTTGCATTAATGCTGTCTCAGACTCAATCCATTCTTCCTTTCCTGTAGACTATTTTTTATATATTTTTCCCCGAAAACTTTCGAAAAAACTGTAAAGAAAAAAATACTCATAGATTTTCATGTTTTTGTGGCATATATAAACGCGTGTCTCCGCGATCAGTTTAATGAGACATCGCGCAAATAAATAAACCTCGCGCTGTAAAAATATTTTCGCTTTTCTTAAAGCAGCTGAACATTGCTACGATGCGTTTCTTCCTTGATAAGTAAAACCATGAGTTTGGAAATCAAACCATAGAAATGCAATGCTTTGCCAGTGAAAATCAGACTTGAACAGGAACAGTGATTTTGGGCGTTGAGTCTTTAAAGTCTTTAAAAGTTCAACAAAACCTATTGCTGAAAAATCTACAACTGAAAACCTGCGTAGAAAACGTCCGATTTTTGTCATAGAAAACATTTTTTGTGGGAAAGTACGGTATTCAAAACAACAACAAAATGGCTTTTAAAAGAACTGTAACTTCACGCGAGTTTTCGATTTCCCGCAATCAGATTTGAAACGCCCACGTTATTGTCTTTCAGCGGACGCACGCATGAGCAAGCAAAATGCCCTCCTGTTCCAAGCTATTAATAACTCTCCAGACTAATCGCTGACGGCGACCCCGACAGTCAAGTTCAGCTCGGCACATGTTAATGAGCATACGCATTGACAATTGCAGTACTGCCACCTGTGCTAATTAAGAATTCACAAACAAACTACTTTGTATGTATTAGAGAGTAGTTTCGCAACTGCAAAGTTTTGACTCAGTGAAATATACCGAAAAAAAACTAACAATTCATCTGCGATGAAGTTTAACTCAGTGTACAGAGGATTAAATTTCGTACTACTGTTTTAAAAAGCAAAATTTTCACTAGTAAATTATTTCTTTGAGAGAAAGTGTACACTTTATATTTTTGTGAAACGGTGAATATTATGAATGTCATTGATATTATCGCTTCATCTTCATCCCTCCCTGGTATATTACGAACCAATTTACTGACCAGCTGCCAGCAGTTGGCTTACTAACTCGATTGGTTAGAGCACTATGCGGGTATTGAGAGATCAGGGTTCGAATCTCGGCAAAGCCTGAATTTTTCTGGCTTTCTTTTCTCACCCATAAGTTGTGTCTTTTATTGCGATAATCTCCTTGCATTTATTCGGCATATTTTTTATGTTACAATCATCAGTATCGTAAGTGTGCAGTAAATAAGCATTTATAATTTACTTGGTGTCAAAACTTATAAGTTGAAGGAGACGCATCAAAAAGAGATAAATAGTGCAGACAAAAAATGAGAAAATATATATCTTAGTAAGATAAACCTAAAAAATGACAAAAGTTTGTAATGAGTATCTTTCATTTCTGCTCTTATCGTAGAAGGGGATTATCATTGTACATTTTCTTATGGTTCTCGAAAAGAAACCACATATTAAATAATAAATACACGGTAAAAAATAGTGTGTACTACACATATTGTACCCTGAGGTATTAAAGATTGATATTTTAAACGAAAAAACAAAAAATGTTTCGATTATGACTGTCTAGTACCTTTGAATAGATGTAACGATCTTATTAATATACTATACAATTATGACAAGCATTGCATGGCATGGCATGGAAATCATTGACAAAACGCACAGCTCGAAAAATATCAAACCCACTAACAAGTCTGGCAATGTTTTCTGATGATGTCTTTGACGGTTTGCCTTACTTCTCTGATCTTCCAGCAGTAAAGCAGTGGGTTTAATGTTGACTTAAAAGAATACTAGGTAGCCGTAAATTGCCTGGCAGGTAAATCGATGAAGGTAAATCTCTTGGAGGCGTTAAAGCTACCGTTATACCATAGGGCAAATAACAAAACAACCAGTGTCACCTGCACCCACAATGCTGTGGACACTGCATTTCTGTATCGAGATATGTTCAGTGGAATTTCTTAGCTTATGTTTCCCAAGTCCCCTACTTGGTTTTGGTCACGATGTAAAGTGCAGAAAATTTTCGTGTAAGACAAAATTGAGGTAACTAGAGACAGAGATATACCCGTGTAGATAAAACCAAGGCACCATTACTGGATTCAAAAGTAGCTTGATGTTGCGACGATACAAAAAAACCCAAACAACGATGGCAGTTAAAATATGTTCTTCGCAAAGTTACAACTTGCCTGTATTTTCAACATCAGCAAAAGCGCGAGAAGTCTGTCCACGCTTATTGCTGTCGATGTCAACAGGGACACAGAGCACAAAATATGAGATGTAATGAAAGCTGTTAATTCTGTATGATAACAGATAGTCCACCCTTCGTTCACCGCAGACATCCAATTGGCAACATCTACAGGCTGTGCAATGATACCAACACAGAGATCAGCTATCGCCAGGTTACGATACAGGAGTTTGGATGGAGGATGAAGCGAAGATTCCTTGTGAAGAGCGACTAGGATAAGCGCGTTGCCCAAAAACGCGGTAATAGACAATAAACTATTTAATACTGAGAGAAAGATTAGCTCGCTGTCGACATCCCCAATAAATTCTGCCGAGCAGTACATTTCTGTGATCCTTTTCTGGTTTCCTTCTGTTGTTGAATTGGCAGCTGCCATTACTCACGCTATGTACTCCCAGTACGTTCAAGTTTGTAATGAAAACCAGCATAATCTATTTCTTCTTTTATGATGACCAAGATGCAAATATTCCGTTTTGTCAATCATACTGAGATTGCTAACTAGCTTGCTATAGGTTCCTGATAACTTCCTTGTCTACAACCTGTTAGTGTACACAAAACTAAACAGTTGAGCTCCGAGTTCCGTAACAGACAGCAATCTGAAACTGCGACACGGGACTTAAGCCCCATTTACACGGCCGAAAATTTTGGCACGGCTCGGATGAAAAAGTACGCGTACTAAAAAATTGGTTCGGCACGGATAGATTTAGTCGTGTAAACGACCTTGGCCCATCCGTGCCGGACCAGAAATTTCACCCGTGCTCGGACCATGTCGAGGTAGTCCGAGCACGGATAAAACTGGTACGCGATCCTGAAAATCTAGCCCAGCTTGGATAAAGTGTGCAGTGTAAACGATTAGCCGTGCCGAGCTAACTTTTCTCTGATGAGTCTTCGTGCCTTTGTTCAGCGCCAATGTGGGAGAGCATGTACAGATGAGCTTTTCATTAGTTCAATATAAACCAAAAGTGCAATAAACACGACAGTAGTTCAATGACCTGCACACGTTAGTTCATTGATGAGCGTGGACAATATGCAGCTGCTGGGGAAATAGCCACAAATACGTTAGAATTTTTTAATATAAATGTGTAGCATTAACTAAGTGGTAAATACTTTTTTCGTTAGTTCAGTGTGTTCAATAACCACACAATAATTCAATAACTGCACCAATATTCAATGACCACCCATTTGTTCTTGTGCGTAGACTACATGCGGCTGAAGGAATTCTAAGAACTTTTCGTCCGCCATGTTTTACAGAGAAGCAGCATGCGCACTAGGCAAGAATCGAGTACGCTGGCCGAGATGTTGAACCTTTACCCGTACCAAATCATAATTTCCACATCGTTTAGCACGGTAGAAAAAGAACGTTGTAAATAAGTAATTAGTACTATTTTTTGGTACGCGTACCACTTTCATCAAGTCGCGCCAAACATTTTCTGCCGTGTAAATGGGGCTTAAATGGGGGCTCTAATTACCTCACACAAAAGTTATGGGGTTGTTTAGTATATCAGAAAAGAAAGAGGATGAAAAGCCCCTTGCAAAATCCCCCTGTCAAAGTAATTTGGTGGGGATATATTATTATCGTTATACTCTGATGACTCCATACTAATACTCCTAAAAATTGGCTTTGATCTTTTAGTAAAGTTTACCGATCCCATAATTTCACAAATCTGCATTGCTGTGACTTTTACACTTTTACTCTGTTATGCAAATAAATGATCAATTGATGGACTGAGTTGACAAAGTCAATTTCTAATTGTCAAGACTGGAGAGCTGAAGTTTCGAGCACTGGCCCTGGAAATGAGAAGTGACCAAGGATTAACAGTTATATTTAGTGAAATAAAAATAAAAAAAAAACTTCAAGAGTAAGTTGTGCCCTCAAGAAGATAGAGTGTCAAGGTCTTGTTGAAATAGACTGGCATCCCTGACTCACTTGAGTTTCGTAAATCCACTGTAAATTATTCTTGCGGGGCTTATTTATTCAAGTCCATTTGAGCAGGAGCTTAATAGAGACGGGCTTATTTGTAAGTATATTTAGAAACGACGATGGTATCAGTTTTCCATGAAGAACTAGAATACAAGGTGGAAAAGCCCGGAAAAGCTAATGTACAATACGTTTTAGGTCATGCAGCCGAGGATCAGAATCAAATCCAAACTTCCAGTTGGTAAACAAACTATCCTGGATCAGTCTACATGAACTTTTACAGTCGTGATTGATTAAAAGATCGTTTTCACTGTCATACGCAACAAAAAAAATACATTGAAAATCCTGTGGAAGAAGCCAAGAAAATGTAGTGTTATAAAAGACTAATATATAAACAATTTGTCCAAGTCTCAGGTCTTTGTGGCCCTAGTTTCTGAGTAATTAGCCGAAACGTTTCATGCACCTTTGTACAGCCTGGAGCCGCCATAGTGGTGTACAGTTTTGGTGCACCAAACAAAAACATCTGGAGTTCACTTTTTGCTATAAAAGCTCTTTTCTTTTCAATCGAGAACTAGCATACGTGCGCATAAACATATCTTTTAATACCTCAAATGGTTATACTGCTACAAATCGAGAGGAGAGACTTTTTTCAACGAGACAG